TTTGCAAAGAATCCTTATTGGACATAAATATAAACATATAAATGTTTGGAGTTTTTCTAGAAGTTAGCTATTTCTAACTCCAAAAAACGGCATCGTCGGCCTTGCATTGATACTAAAAACGAAATTACTTTGATACATTTTTTCCATACTTTAACTTTGTTCCCAGGCTCCAACCATCGCAATTTTTTGCAAAGAATCCATATTTGACATAAGTATAAACATATAAATGTTTGGAGTTTTTCTAGAAGTTAGCTATTTCTAACTCCAAAAAACGGCGTCGTCGGCCTTGCATTGATACTAAAAACGAAATTACTTTGATACATTTTTTCCATACATTAACTTATCAAACTTTTTAAATCTTTACAACAAATTTTTTCTGTTGATATTATTTTTTATTAGTAATCTTTTTTAACATAGTACGACAAAATTTTTCAACATCCAGTAATTTTTAACATCATTTTTTTTAACCGATATGCAAACTTTATTTTATCTTGAACTTAATCTTGTTGCTTGAGATAATACAGATTACGTCTTCTTATTGTGCTGGCCTTTTGTATATATTTTAAAATATTTCAAAGAGTTTATATAACTTATACAGCATTAAATTATACCTGAAGATTACTAGACAAAACTTGTTTTCCGTTAATGATTTTTTTATTCATTTAAGATATCAAATCTTTTAAAAAAAAAAATTAGTAATACTGCTTACTGATTTTGTTGTACTTTCTTTTTTTTTGCAAAAGTAAATAATATTAAAAAGTAAAACTGATAAGCTACATAATGAGTTTTTTAGATTAAAGTAATATATATTAAAAAAATTAAAAAATATAAATTGAACACTTTTGAAAAATGCAAATATAAATAAGTTTCAACTTTCTAAAATTACTACTCAAAATTTTCAATCTTACAAAACAATTGTGTTCGTTATTATAAAGAAAGGTTATTTTTAATTTTTTGTATTATTCGGCGAATTACGAAAAAATTCTATTATACTTGCTTTTCAATATTTAATTCACAATTTAACACACAAACATAATTTTATACAAAAAAGAAAAAAAACAAAATTCAATTTAATGTTATTACTGTCTGTATTTACAAATCTTGAATGTCTGATTTTAAATAGATGTGTACTACATTTAAAAGTTAAACTTCTATTACTATTTATTGACTTTTTTTGAGATGGTCCCCGGAATAGACTTGAAGCTGTGGACGATATTCCTGTGGATGATATTTCATTTATCATTTTATAATTTTGTATTGACATAAACAATCAATACAAAATTATAAAATGATAAATGAAAAATACTCGTCTTACTAAAAAAGCTGACGATATAAATTAATATAAGTCACAATAAACAATTCATAGTTACAAGTTAAGTCACAACAATTCACTGTTAACAAGTTAAGTCACAACTCACATTAGCGTATCATTTATGTTCTAAGTATCTTTTTTATTTATGCATATTTAAAAGAACAAAGATTCTAGATGCATCTAAATTTCCTTTGGATACAAAATACATTGCAGTAAAATCAAGTATATTGATTAAGAGATTTTTATTACCTTTATTTGCATCATTTTAATGAGTTTCTAACAAACGGGAAAAAAGTACTGTTTTTTTGATTGATTAATTTTTGAAGTAATTTAATAAGCAATAGAGATAAATTTTGAAATAATATGCATTCCACCTTATAGTACCCATCGCCTTCAACCATTTGACGCCCATGTCAATAAAGTAATTAAACATATGCGATCTTAGGCTTGTCTAATTGTTTAGCTGAAAATGATAATATTTCTATGCCTCGTTGAAACTTTCACATTATTTTTAACAAAATATTGCAACTTTCACGTTATTGTTAACAAAATATGGCTCAACATACTTCAAAAAGAGGATTGATTGATAATGCGTTTTACCATTGCGGTTTGCATTCCCTATGAAATACAGTGAAAGGCTTCAAATACAAAAAAAAAGAGATAATTATTAAAACAAAAATTCATCTGCGATACCCAAATTTATCTGTTTTAAGGACTATTGTATCTTCTCCAGAATAAAGAAAGCCTACTCACTCAAAATGCCATATTGCTCTTACTACATTACCAGATTATGTTAAGTTTACAAAAGAGCCTCCTGCTAAAAAGGCTCCAATAAAAAATTTGGTCAGTATTAAACAGAAGTCAGAATAAAAAAAGATAAATCAGTCAAAACAAAAATAAAGAAGACTTATTTTTCAGCTAATTTTGATCACCCAAGTTCATCTAGTGGTTTTATTCTAAAAAATAACACTGATAAAGACTTTTGTTGTGTTTGTGTAGTTTTGGGAATTGCAAACGAAGATGGGCTTAAATGTTTAAGTTGGCATGTAAAGGAAGTTTTTGAGTTGATACATATGGAAAATATGTGAGAAGGACATATAAACGTCTTGTAAGTTTTTAATTAGTCATAGTGATATAATTTTTGTTATTGCTTTAACGTGTTATTCAGAATCATGATCAATCAAATGTTTTAGAAATCGGAAAACTGACTTTCAGTAATTCTATCTTGTCGTTATCTGAGTGTAATCCCATATGTGGCTATCTGTTAGCTATCCGTAGTTCTATCTACATCACTTTTGGGTTTAATGTTCTAGATTAAGAAAATCATCCTACTATTTACTCCGAAAATAATGCTTTATACGATGGTTTTTTTTTCTCCTAAGTAAGCTGTCTTTACCACTAGTAAGGAATTTCGTCTACTGCCAAGTGACGTATTTTTCAATTAGTTTAGTTGTACTGACGAATTCGCCCCATAATTGACGAATTCGTCCTCGTGACTAGATGATGAAAAAATCAAGCTCTACGCTAATGTAACTTTAGAATTTATTTTGATTTAATACATTAACAAATTAGAGACCCTAATTATTAAAATAATCTTTTTAAACTAGAAAAGTTTACTTATTTATATGCAATCTCATTTTATTAAAGTAAAATATGACGAACTTACCCCGCCTTACCCTAATTAAAAATAGCTTGGAGTAGTACAGCTTAAAATTCGAAAAACATTGCTGAGTAATGTTAGAATTTCTTGATAAAGTAATTCATCATTGTGGGATATGTAGACAAGCAAACAAAGTGACGTCGCCGAAACGGACGCTAATTAAAAGTCATAATTCAAAAAAGGTTTAGACAGGGTTGCATTTGCAATACACGATTTTAATTAAAGTTAACAATTTATTTCTGATTACTTGACCACTAGAAGGTCTAATGCTCAATCATTAATTGGATGAAATTGAAAACTCACATAGTGAAAATTGTAAAAAATTGGTGATAAGGTGCTCTATCTTGGAGAACTTGTCCACAGAAGTAAACAACTTTTTTTTAAATATTTTATTAAAAATGAAGGCGCGGTATATCAAACAAAACTAAAGAAATAAAATAAAAACAAACAATGCAATTTTTGAAATAACTTTTTAAATAACATTTTTATAATTATAATTACAAATATTTTACAGAAATTTCGAAAAAGGTTGAAGTTCTCTGAAAAAGCATGAACAAAATGATTGAAAAATAAGTACTAACGAATTTTTGTAACACAAAAAATAATTACAAGAAACAGCGAAAGATTTCGCTCTTTGTTTCATTTCGTTATGAAAAATTACGACCTGAGATTCTCGTACTTAGTTTTAACTTTTGAGTAATCTGAGAAAAGTTTACATTTCATTTGCCTATTAAAATACACTCAAAATAAAGAATATATAAAACAACCGCCAATTTATAAATAAGTAAAAGAAAGTTATCATGGGACCGGGCACAAAATGTGCAAAATCTCTTTAATTACTAAAATTTTAACTTAACTATAGGTATCACCATAAATTAAATCACGCAATTTTGGACAGTTTTTAAAAACCTACCACCCCACCTACCCCACCTCTCGTCACAACTTTGTAACTCTTTAGCAACAAGTTCCAAATGAGAAAAAATAAAACCACAACCCCTTTCCCCTACCCTAGAGCGTGACGTAACTTATGGACGACCTATAATGAAATTTGAGAATTTATTAAAAATTAGTTTTTGCAAAAGAGCGTGCGTGCAGTGCGCATTAAAATATTTATTTTTAAGATTTCATTAGCTTGTAATTATGTTCTGTTAATGACTTCAATTTAGTTTATAATGCACACATTTGATGAGCTAAGAAGGGGAAGAAAAAAAAGTTTTTTTAAATAAGTAAAATCAAAATTAAACTTAAAAGTTAGTTCAAATTTAATAAACAATAAGTAAAAAAAAATTTGATTCAGAATATTTTTGTTAAGTATATTACTCCGTATTAACTGTTTGCGCAAATTAATAATGGTTTATTGAAACTTTATATTATACATTAAATTATGTTTATTGTTTATATTAAATCAAGTTTATGATTAAATTAGGTTGCAGTAAAATCATCGCTGATTTTTTTACCAATTATAAACAAATAACATTAACTACAAACCCAGCAAACATTCTTTAGTGGAAGTTCAATATAGGCATTTTGAGCGGACTACTGTAGTTTTGCTCATCGGCTACTTAGTTGACTGTTTGTGGCAGCCGCCAAATATGTGTGTATATATATATATATATATATATATATACATATATATATATATATATATATATATATATATATATATATATATATATATATATATATATATATATATATATATATATATATATATATATATATATATATACATATATATATATATATATATATATATATATATATATATATATCTATATATATATATATATATATATATATATATATATATATATATATATATATATATATATATATATATATATATATATATATATATATATATATATATATATATATATATATATATATATATATATATATATATATATATATATATATATATAGGGAGAGAGAGAGAGAGAGAGAGAGAGAGAGAAAGAGAAGGGAGGAGAAAAAAAAAACATATATAAATATAATCAATATTGATAAAAGTAACATTATTCATACGTTTTTTTTGTGGAACTAAATGTTTAAAAACGTTGAACCAAGGTTTTTAGTAAAATGAGTTCTCTTTAATTTTTCTTTTCTTCTTATGCTTAAAGCAAATGATCTGTTCTTCTTATTCTTCAAGTTCTTTTTTCTTATTTTTAAAGTTAAAGCAAAAGATCTGTTAAATATCAAATTTAAATTTAATCAAAGGAATTTAAATGTAACAATTTAATAAATAAAAATACAATAAGATTTTAAAACTACGGCAAATATATGCAATAAATGTATACAACAACGTATGAAATAGTTTCAATAGATAATTTCAATAAAACTTTTATAAATTTCAAGATATAATCATTAGCGAAATAAACATCTGGTTTCTCGTTGTGTTATATTGTTTTTTAAATTATTAATAAACCACTTATTCACACAGTTGTTTACTTGTACAATCTTTAAGATTTAACTGTAAATGATCCAAGTGAATTTTGACTTCAACATTCGATTAGAATATTGTTTTTACTGTAGTTATTTATTCAAATGATTTACCCAGTGGGCACCCGACGTCAATCCGACGTCGGATTTACGTACGATTTTCATCAGCGATGTTAAAAGACCAATTCAGATGTTGTTCCGATGTCAGTAAAATGACGTCGGGCGATGTCTTTATCTCAACATCCCCTGACGTCGTTTCGATGTATTTTGACGTTGTTTCGACATCTTATAAAAGACGTCCAAAAAACGTCGCAGTACTGACATCAATCCAACGTCGATAAAAAGACGTTGGGCAACGTCATAATATTAACGTACTCCGATGTCTTTTGACGTCTTCCGACCTCAATCCAACGTCCTTAAAACGACGTCGGAACAACGTCGTAAGACATCGCTGATAAAATTTAATCCAAACCCAACAATATGTGTGCAATTGCGCTCTTCAATAATTATGTGAACTAAGCGTGTTTTTTTATTAATGGAAAAAAGTTTGAATAATGGTTGATAAAACATCATGAGGTTTTGTATGATGCACTAGCATAGTTTTTTAACTATTAACATTTTCGAGTATACATTTTTTATAATATATAACTATTCGTTTTAATATTTATATAATATTTAAAAAAATTATTTCTTATCAAAGTAATAATTCCCAAATAGCTACAAGTATAAATTACTAAATAAACACTCTAATTAATGTGTCCCTGTGGTGTAGTGGTAAGCGGGTAGGATTCAGTAATTAATAGACCGAGGTTCGATTCCTGCTAAAGGCAACGTTTTTTAGTTTTCAAAAAACACGCTGGATTTACATCGGAATGCCGACGTCGCGCGATGTCAGTTTATCCGACGTCAAATAACATTTCCATTTCCAACGTAAACCCAACGTCGATCCGACGTCGAGATCCGACGTCGCTCGACGTTCGTTCGACGTCGAAATGCCCACTGGGTAGTTAACAGTTTCATAAACATAAACAGGGCCGACGATACTAAGGAGAAGGCATTTGTTCTCTATTTTTTTTCTAAAGGACTTTTTTTATATAAAAGTTCTAGATACAGAAGAATTTTTTTAAGAATTGATGATTGTGTCCACCCCCCCCCCCCTCCAACATGAAACTCGTGTCGTCGGCCCTGTTAAGTGTAAATTTACGACTGAAGAATCCCTTACAAAATATTTCACGAAAAAAGTCATTATATATTTAAAATTAAATTAAAAAAAAAAGATAAAGTTAAAAACTAAAAACGAAATGACAAAATTTCTCGTTTAAGGTTTTATACAGCGTCGACCACAGGCTTTTTTGATGTTTCAGATATGACACTTTCACGTATTGTGCTAACTTCAAACTTAAGTATATTCATGCCTATGAAAAATAAGGAGACTAAATCGCGATGGTGGAGGCCTGGGAACAAAAACATCTTAAAGTTGCTTTATACAAATAATAATTCAAAATTAAAATTAAAAAAATGTTTAAAATCATAAATATATTGAAGTAAATATAAGATAATTTACCCGTAAAAATAATATAATTTACAAAAAGAGTTTCCATGTTTATATGACCATAAAACAATAATAACTTTGCTGGTAGCTTCAAGAGTAAATATTTTTAATTAAAGTCTGATTAAGACATAGAAATTCTTAATTCTTAATAAAAAATATCAATTGAATTTACTCTTTTTGTTAAATGATCTAGATTTTTAAATTTATGGTGCTAATTTAGTTTAATAACTCCTAAAAGAGACAGACAAAATTTACTATATTAAAATCTGTAAGTACTAAATAACGTCTTAAGTTAGATTTATAGTGTGAAGCATTTTTTCTTCAAGATTAACAATTAGCTGAAAATTTTTCCACAAATTAAGTCTAATGTGAAAATATAATTTATGTAGGGGTTAAGTAATAAACATCTCCTCAGAGCCGCGTTAATAATTACTTGCGTTTCTACGAGGATTAAATATCTTAATAAAGATAGAGAAAATATTATCTCAACAAAAAAAATCTTTAAAAAATATTAAAAAAAGAAATTTTTTTTTATACTATAAAACAAAATAAAGTATTAACAAAATAGACTCAATAAAATTTATAGCATTATTTCCAAAAATAAATGATAGTTAGTCGCCTTTACCGACGGTAATCACGGGCATTGGGAGGTTATGGCAACACAGAAGTCGTTTCGACAGAAATAGTATTATTAAATTGGGTTAAAAAATAAATACACGTGGAAATTTTTTATTTAATAAAACTTTTTTTATAGTCAGAAGTCAGAATTATGTTGTAAATGTTATTTTTTTGCAAAAAACAGCTTTATACTTTTGTTGTCGTGTCTAATGTTTTAAAATATATATATTTTAAAGTATTACGGATATACAGACCGTTTTGTAATTAGCCAATTTCTCCCGCCAGACACACCAGTTAAATATTTCCTGCTCTTAATTTCCGTGACAAGCCATGTTGCTTGAACCCTTCGTATTGTGATTAATAAGCTCAAAAAGCTTAGAATACATAATCATAACTCAAGGGATAGTCTTGTGACAACTCAAACAACATGTTTGTAATCTACAATGGTTTACAAGCAAATATTAAGCAGTAGAATTCTTTGACAGATGACTCTTCATGTACTGTCCTCTTATTAAATTTTGTTGGTGTACATAATGAAGAATTTTGTCACACAGCAATAGGTTTTTATGATTACTATGAGCAAAAAACTAAAACCTACGTTGATGCAGAAGAGTATGCTATGGATATCAGACGCCAGCCTGGTTGCAAGAAACCAGGCCGCCCAGGGTCTGCCTGGTTGCAAGAAACAAGTTAGACACTAAAATTTCTAGTGCTTATGATGCAAGTTTTATTGAAAAATTTAAATTTGTATTTGAGTTTAACATAATTATCGATCAGCCTATGGGTGAGTCGGAAAGATAAAAGCTATTTAGCCAATTTTTTTAACAGGAGCTTTAGCTTGCAGAAAGAAGAGGTAAATAAACGGTTAGGAACCTGATGTTCCTAACCGTTTATCACAATGTGGTTATATGACTCAATGATTAACGGATATTTTAAAGCAAAGTTTAGTTTTAAAAAAGTCCTGGTTTTTTTAAAACTAAACTTTGGCCAATATATTTTTTTATATTGTAAAATTAAGAATTGGCCAAGTTCTAATACCAATTCTTAATTTTACGTTAGATTAGATTAGATTAAAAATTTATTAGAACAGTGATACATTTTCTAAAGGACACGCAGGTCCATAAAATATGAAGGAACAGTTAGCCGGAAACCAAAAACCAGTTAGCCGGAACAGTATTTTTTGAAGTCGATAGAGTTAATTTTAATTTTGAAGCACTTTACATTTTTGGCGTGCACGACATCAGACGGCAAGTTATTCTAAATATTAACAACCCTGAGTGAGAAAGAGTATTTACGGACATCAAATTTACATTTTAGTTTGCGTAATTTGAAATTATGTCCTCGAATGTAAATATAATTGCTAAATTGATTTATTTAGGCAAACTAAATTGCTCAGAATTTTGTAACATGTAATCATGTCTTGCTTAAGGCGACGAATTTCTAGTAGTTCCAAACCAAAAAATCTAAGTCTACTTGAATATGAAACACTATTTAGGTTAGAAATTCTCTTGGTAAAACGTCTTTGTACTCTTTCCACTGTATTGTTCATTTCAGTGCGATTCGGCGATCAAACCGGAGAGCAATATTCTAAGATCGGTCTTATATAAGTAGTGTAGGCTTTAACGATAAAACGTGGATCATGACTTTTAAAACACTTAAGGATTAGATATCCTCAAATGTTTGAGGCGCGGACGATATTTGAAATATGATTACTGTAATTTAAGTAAGAATCTATGGTCACACTAAAATTTTTTGAGTTTGTAGACCAAATTAAATTATGATCGCCTAATTGATAGTTGTAATTTATATCTTTACAAAATGAAGTAGGTGCTATTCTATGAGTAAAGCACATATTATTGGCAACTTTTAATTGCCATTTTTTAGACCAGAAATAAACCTTATAAATGGCTACAGCAAGATCGTGACTATAATATACGTTGTAATAATGTATAATGTACGTTGGTATGAAATAGATTTTTTATTGCATCAACAAAAACATAAAAAATTTTTTGCAACGATACTAACTGTATGTATTTGGTTTACATTCAAAAATATAAAACCTATAGTTATACCTATAGAATAGGTGCAACTTTTGCTAAATAAAACCTGGTTCATAATCTTAGTAGACTTGAGTAATATACATCTTTTAGTTTACGCACAACTGTTTTTCTCAAGTTGAAACGAACTTCCTTGAAAACCAATATCATCAATAGTCAATGTTATGAATTGTAACATGTAACCATGTTACAAGTCATAACTTTTAATATCAATTTGGTCAGTCATCTTTTTCTAATATGTAGTGATTTTTTTATATGTTTAAGAGGTAAATACGGAGTAAATCTGATTAGACCAGACCGAATGATAAAATACAAATCATCCCAAAAAATTTACTTAGTAAGTCAGACGGAAGATAGCAGTGGCTTTACAAGGGTTTATTTAATATTAAAATTTAAACATTAAACTTCGGTAAATTATTTTGAGTTTAGAATCATTTCCTTAATTTTAAGAAAAGTTGACCTTCCCTTACTTTGATTTTATTTAATAATTTTTTTAG